ATATATATATTAATAATTGAATGTTTTTGGTATGCTTGCTATGTGATTTGTAAGGGTGAATGTGAATGATGTGTGTGCTTAATATAAACAATTTATTTTATGTTATGATGTCCTCTTTATTTATTCTACACATTCCTTATGTTCTTTTTTTGGTTTGTAGTTAGTGAAAGAAAAAGTTGAAAGTTGTTTATACATTTATGTTAGGAACATAATTTATATCATAGTGGAGATACATCGAAGAAATAATTAATTTAGTTAGGATAGATTAGACCTAGCAAGGAACAATATCAACTAGGAGAAGTTATGTAATAGTACACACTAAGTTGACCAGGAAGGGACAAGCCTTGTGTAGGGTGCTAGATGTGAGAGTGGTTTTCCAAAGCTAAATAGTAGGTTGACTTTCATGCCTATCTTAGTTTTGCCTAATCCTACGAACCTTTTTAGTAATTAGTAATGCGCCAAAGATGATCCTAGGAGGAGTTTTTATGTAGAAGAGAAAGTAGTCTTCTATAAATTTAAGAGGCTTAAGAACCATGAAAGGACTACCTACCTATAATCTAGAGTTAGATGTAGTAATGGTTGCACTAAAGTTATGGAAACATTACTTGTGCGGTGGGGATTTTGAAGTCTTTAATGATCATAAGAGGCTTAGATACCTTGTGATTAAAAGAGATATATATGTGAGACAAATAAGACAATTAAACTCTCTTGAGAATTATAATTTTGAACTTAGTTTACTACCCAAGTAAAGCCAATATAGTGAATGACGTTTTAAGTAAGAAATCCCTACATATGTCCACCTTAATGATTAGAGAGTTGGATCTTTTGGAACAATGTAGAAATCTTGATTTGGCTTGTGAGTTGGCCCCTAGAAATATTAAGTTGGGTAACTAGTAGATTCACATATAAGATTAGAGAGAACTACCTTTTGTTAACTCAAGTAAAAGGAAGAATAGTTTTCGTCGACCCACTTTGTGTTCTTCCATTTGGATAAAGTTAACAATGTGTGTCCTAAGCTTATCCATGTTGGCAGGCTCATAGAGGTACAAATTGTTGGAAAAAGACCTATTTTCAAGGCTTACAGCATGTTGTTGATGGAGATTTGAGGGTGGATATTTTAAATCTTATTTGTTACAAAGGAAACTCACTCCATGAATGCCCTTATGGTTTCATTGTCCTTCTTCTAGAGGCTTAACAGGGTCAAGGGTGATGTCTTTTATGGTCGATAAGTGTTGAAACACGCCTTGAAAATGTGCTTGAGGGTGGTGTAGTTCAATATAGTTCTTAAGGTGAGGCTAGTGTATCACAGGAGTGTGGTTCCCTCTAGGGAGATTGGAAACATTTTACACATAACTGGGTCATCATGTGTGTACAAATATATGTGCATTGCATAAGCGACAAGGTGTTCATCTAGGCAAGTCAATTTGTCATATGCCTTCTGTGGCACCCAGTCACATTGCCATTTAAACAATACTAGTATAATATGTTACATTTATTTAATTGATTACAATTGAATTAAAATAATTGATTTAAGAATTTTAGTGCATTATTATTATTATTATTATTTTAAATTATAAGTTAATTTATAACACATTATTATGAAATTAAAATAATGCCATTATAAAAGAAACATCATATAGGAATAAACATAAACATATGATTCGTTAAGTCATATACCATCATACAATGTCACAAACATATTCTAAGATCATGGATCATAACCTGTCAACATAAAGAGTTTTTCAAAAAAGACTTTCCTACTTAATGGCATCAAAAAGTTATACACATACCAAAAAGTCTTTCACTACCTCACTATAAACAAACAAAATATAAGGATACCTATGTCAGAGCAGTCAAATATCTACAACTACCCACCCTCTTTTTACTACTGTAAAGTTAGTTAAATAGTCATGTAGTCACCTTGAAAGGTCGTCCTCAAGATCTAATTCCTCCTCCTCATCCTCATCATCTGAATCATCATCTTTAGCATCATATTCTCCATCAAAGCATCCATTAGGCAAGTGATGCCCCAAGTCTAGTACATGTGGAGGTGAAGGAGCATGAAATCCATTTTGCTCATACAATTGAACCAATGGAACTACTTATTCATCGTTAGAAGTGTTAAAAGATGATGAACCTAGGTATAAAGTGGTGAGTCAACTCTAACATATCCAAGAGCAAGTGGTAGTGTCAATATTAATGGAATGGTCAAGATGGCACATTGCATCCCAACTGGAGGGTGTATAGATAGGAATTGAAAGGTCACCAACTCTAAAGGTGTCATCCTTAAAAAATTCTTCATGGATCTAATAACTATGGTTATTGAACAGTAGGGAAAATATCCTCATCACAATAATGTCCCCCAACAATGTTAGTTGCTAATCATTAAGTCGTACCACATACATGGAAGGAAAATAAAAGAAAGGAGTGAGGTGGTTTAAATCCTAAATCACTTTCAAAAATAAGTTCTTAGGATATACCTATACAATCAATTAACTAATATTCGATATACAAGGGTTCTTATGATTTAACCTAAGTTATCATAAGACATTCCAGACTCGTATGGGTCCATACCTCACTTGATGATCATCACCAAGTATTTTATTTTCTTTGGGAAATGATTAGAATCTCATATCCTCCTCATAATAGTACCATTTTTTATCATTATTATTTTTCTCAAGAATTGAACACAAGGCTTCTCCTAAGGGTATATGTGTTAGAATAGTGGATTTAAACCTAACTCAACCCTACAAAACCGGCTTGTAAGGTGAGGGTTGCTTTCCACTTATATACTATTCAATTGCTTAATCTCTAGTCGATGTGAGACTTGGATTTTTCCCAATACACCCCCTCACGTCCAGCACTATTGGGCTTGGTACGTGGATAAATGGTGAGTGACCCTTTTTAATGATCTAGGATAGGCGGGACTTAGGTTTTTTCCAATACACCCCCTCATGCCTATAAGGCATGCATCAATGGTGGGTGGCCCATTTTTAAAGTGGATCTAAATGGCTCTGATACCATGTTAGAATAGTGGATTTAAGCCTAACTCAACCCTACAAAACTGACTTGTAAGGTGAGGGTTGTTTTCCACTTATATACTATTCAATTGCCTAATCTCTAGTCGATGTGAGACTTGGGTTTTTTCCAATAATATGCTTAACCAATCTTGTTGATGCTAAGCATGTGTCAAGGTTATCAAGTTAGTTTTTGTGAATGTCCGAGTTCCAAGGTAGTTAATCTAACCACTAGGACTCTTGAAACAGACCTTTTCAATGCTCATTGCTTTCATCTTACAGTATACCAAACTATGACTTTCCAGACTCACTTGAGCACATGTCTGTTGTACTTGGTTCACCATTAAATACTTGAGGCTTCTAGCTTAAAGTTTCATCAATTCATAAATAATTTTGGAATTTTTGATAGAGTTTCCTTTGTAATATGATATTTCCTACACATACCTACAATCAAACATCGAGATTCAAATCATAAACAACATGTAACTCCATGTATCATAATTTCATCAAAAATTAAAATATAATTTTATTAAATTTTAGTTAAAGCTCCAACCTAATTATATTTTCTTTTCAATTTTTTATGCAACTAGTCATACACTCTAATTTCTTTATTTTGTTTGTTTAAAATAGAGATATTTTTATTTCTTATTTATTATTAAGATTATTACTATTATTAATATTAACTATAAATATATTTCTTTTTATTTAATGTACTATTTTTTTCAAAGCAAGTAACTATATAAGCTTACTTTTAAGCCTCCAGATTTAAAATCAATTAATTAATTTATATATATATATATATATATATATATTTTTTGATGATCAATTTAGATTTAAATAAGTGTTCAATGTATGAAATTTTATGAAAAAGGGAGTTTTTTTTATTTAATCTATAAAATTAATATTATAATTATTATTGAGTTCCCATTAATATTATATATATTGACAAAGATAATCATTTCGAGTAATTTTCTATCATGTATTTCGGAATGTAAATAAATTCTATAATTTTTCATCTATATTTATCACTGTAATATATTTTAGAGTTATAAATTAATTTACTAA